GTAGTCCCTATCTGCCACTAAAGCGCCATATGAACACATTATGTATTAAAATTTAGTGTTTGAACGGTGAGATTCATTGCAAACACACTGGTCTTGTCTGAGCTCAGATTAGCCGTTAGCTCATCAGTACTCTATTTCTCTAAACAAAGGCTGTTCAAGTAGCCATCTACAACAGGGAATAATAATTATTACTAAGTTAGACACATAAACACACCTGCGAATGCCCAAAATAGCGATTTAAATGTGACCGTCTACATGACCAGAATCATGTCTTTTTTAAGGCTAGATTTTAAATAAATATTTGGTTACATTAAGATATTCAAATGTCAGTAAACAGCAGTTGATGCCACAAACATGCATAACATGCATCACACCTTTTCAAAACAAAAGCATCACACAGAGCAAGACTGTCTAATATAATTTTTTTTAATGAAGACCTTCAAAAACATTCTCCCCCTTGGTTGTTGTGGTATTGGTGGGGGGTGTTATGAGTCTTGCTCATTAACCCTTAAGGACCCGTGGTGACACAGGTGTCACAACACTAACGTCTGCAAAATAGATTCTTGAGTCAAATTATCAAGTTCAAAAACTCCAAGTGACATTCTATTTATACATATATGGAACACTATTCTACCTCTTTGTTTTATTTCATTTTTTCCTACATTTTGATGTATTTATTCCAATCTGTTTTCTATTTCAAAAGGGTTCTAAAGGGGTTAATATCCATGACTTGTGAACACCTCTTCTCTGATTGGCTAACAACAAGGACTCTTTTGCAGCCTTCTTTCTATTTTGGGTTAAAAAAATGCAGCTTTGATGTTTTGTCCCCACAAATAACACAGTCCTGAGCACATTCCACCCATCGACATAAATATATGGACAATGGGTTTCCCATAGACTCCAATAACAAGTTTTTCTGCTAAAACGGGAGGTGGCCACCACCGCCATTTTGACCGTGTCACAGGTTCCGTCAAGCCCAGACAATTCCATAAAAGGGAAGAGAGGAGGAGCTGAGGGTGGGGCTGTAAGGCTGGGATCAACTGACGACACCCAGTCGAACTACCTACAAGCTAACCTGAAGCTAACCCACAGCTAATGCGGAGGTGGGGGCTAAGCTAACGGAGGTAGCAACCTAGCTACAACCAGAGTTAACTGTGCACAACACCAGAGCTTCTGAGTCAGAGATACGCCGGGCTGACCGCTGGGTTGTGGAGGTCCCGGAGACCTCCACAAGCCGGCAGCCGCACAGCAGACAAGCGCCGCTGCGATCTGAGATGCGCAGAGCTGCCGCTGGGGAGAACCGGGTGGCAGGATTCCATCCCAGAGCTCCACAAGCCGTTAGCCCGCGCAGCACACAGAAGCCACGATCAGACAGAGATGCGCCGAGCTACGGGGAGATGTGGCGTATTTTGGTGGTTCTGGCTTGCCATAAAAACCAGCCGTCAGCCCGCGCAGCACACAGAAGCTGTGATCTGACAGAGATGCGCCGAGCTGCGGGGAGAACCAGCCGTCAGCCCGCCGTAGCACACAGAAGCCGCGATCAGACAGAGATGGACCGGGCTGCGGGGAGAAGTGGCGTATTTTGGCGGTTCTGGCTTGCCATAAGAACCAGCCGTCAGCCCGCGCGCAGCAAACAGAAGCCGCGATCAGACAGAGATGGACCGGGCTGCGGGGAGGGGATAATGGATCCAAGATGGCGGCGCGTGAACAACGCGACGCTCAGTGTCTCTCCAGAATCTGCTATTTAGCGGTTATTTATCTACTTTTAACCGGATTATTCATCCAGAATTGCTGTGCGTTGCTGACCTACAGCAGACAAGAGATTCTGGACTTCTGGACTTATAACTCCAACAGTTTTATCGCCGATCTCCGACTCATCCCAGAGATCTCCAGAACACCGGAGGCTGCCCCCCCCCCCCCCCCCCCCCCGGAAGTGCATGCAGACGGCGCCGAGAACGTAAACAAAGATGAGGTAGGCGCGGTGGGCTACGGGCCAAGCTAAGGCTAACACCACACCGGCTGCCTTTACCCAGTATCTTCCTCGCCAATGTCCGTTCTCTTGGCAAACAAAATGGATGAGATACGGCTCTCCATGACTAACAACAGACGGATAATGGACTCAAATGCCATGTTGTTTACCGAAACATGGTTGAACAACAGCTGCCCGGACAATGCTATCGAGTTAGTTGGACGCCACACACACCGAGCCGACAGGCTAGCAGATGACTCCGGCAAGACCAGAGGTGGAGGTTTGTGCATTTATATTAACAATGCTTGGTGCATGAACTCCACTACTACTGAGAGTCACTGCTCACCCAATGCGGAGTTTTTAACGGTCAAATGCAGACCTTATTATCTCTCCAGAGAGCTCACCTCGATCATACTTACTGCAGTGTATGTCCCCCCCGATGCTAATGCTAGGTTGGCCATGAAAGAACTTTCTGCAGCCATTAACAAACACCAGAATAAACACCCCGAGGCTGCTTTTATTGTTGCTGGCGACTTCAACCACACCAACTTAAAGACATTCCTCCCCAGATTCCACCAACATGTCTCTCCTGCTACACTAGAGGAGACAAGACTTTAGACCATGTTTATTCCAACTTGTTGCGAGGCAGAAGCCATCTGGCTCTCCACTTGACGTTCTGCCACCTCGTCTCTGGAAGGCTGCCTTTCCGTGCCTTGGCCCTTCACTTGGTCAGATTATCAATGGGAGCCTCAGCACAGGTGTGGTCCCAGCTGCTTTGAAAGCAGCAGTTATTCGGCCGACCCTGAAGAAACCTGGTGCTGATGTCTCTGTGATAGAAAATTACAGGCCTATCTCTACCCTGCCTTTTACATCTAAACTGCTTGAGAAAGTCGTTTATCAGCAGCTGGTCTCACATTTAGCTGACCCTGATCTGTTTGAGGTTTTCCAATCAGGGTTCAGGTCTGGCCATAGCACAGAGTCAGCTCTACTGAGGGTCCTAAATGACATCTATCTATCACTAGATCAGGGAACATCTGTGGTGCTTCTGTTGTTAGACCTGACAGCAGCCTTCGACACAGTGGACCACGTGATTCTACTCGATCGCTTGGAACGATGGGTTGGGATCAAAGGGTCAGCTCTGGATTGGTTTAGATCGTATCTCCACAACAGGACATTCTGTGTTAAACTGGGTGATGTTTTTTCTTCTTGGGAGGGGCTCCGCTGGGGGGTCCCGCAGGGATCGATCCTTGGTCCTCTTTTGTTTGCCATTTATCTGCTACCTCTGGGGTCAATCTTTCGTAAACATGGCCTATCATTCCATCTGTATGCTGACGATTGCCAGATTTACTCTCCATTGTGTCAGGAGAAAGGTCACTCTATCCAGTCCTTTGTCTCCTGTGTTAACGAGGTGAAGTCTTGGCTAATGGCCAACGTTCTGCATCTGAATGAGGGAAAGACAGAGCTCATTGTTTTTCACCCCAACAGGAGGAATGTGGATCGTTATGCTGATCTTGGCCCTCTTTCTCCATACTCAAAACCAGTTGTTACCAGTTTGGGGGTGAAACTTGATGCAGGACTTAAATTTGATGCTCACATCAATTCTGTGATCCGGTCCAGTTTCTTTCACCTGAGACGCCTTGCAAAAATCAAGCATATGCTGTCAACAGCCCACCTGGAGCGGGTACTGCATGCCTTTGTAATTTCTAGGCTTGATTACTCCAGCTCTCTCTACGCAGGGTTGTGTCAGTCATCACTGTGTTGCCTACAGGTTGTGCAGAACAGCGCAGCCAGGTTCCTGACTGGGACCAGGAAACGGGACCACATCAGTCCGGTTCTGGCCTCCCTGCACTGGCTTCCGGTTTGCTATCGCTCACAATTCAAAATCCTCGTCTTTGTTTATAATTTCTTCCAGGGTGGTGCTCCCCCCTATCTGGCCACTCTCCTGAACAGACATTCCCCATCACGCGCTCTGCGCTCCTCTGACCAAGGCCTGCTCGCTGTCCCTCGGTCTAGGTGTCGTACTCGCGGGGACCGGGCTTTCTCAGTCCTAGCACCGTTACTCTGGAACCAGTTGCCACCCTCAGTTAGGCTGTCCCCTTCTCTGCCAGTCTTTAAGAGTCACCTAAAAACACACCTCCTCCGCTTGGCGTTTCCAGAACATGTTTGATTATGGCCCTCTATTATGTTGAATTTATTTCACAGTTTTCATTGGTTCACTCAATCCATTGTTTTACACATTTGTCCTGTACCAGAATGTTTCATCTATTTTATAATTTGTATTTTGTAATTTGAATTGCTTTTATTGTTGATTTATTCACTATATTTACCTACAACTGAACCATGTTCAGCGCTTTGGGCTTCCTGACAGGGTTGCGGAAGGCGCTTTATAAATAAAGCTTTGACTGATTGATTGAACTTGGCTGGAGCCTACAAAGCAACTCCCCTCCCCCACATTGGACAATCGGACCATCTCTCCCTGTTCCTCACACCTCGGTATTCACCACTCATCCAACGTGTGAAACCTGCTGTGAGGACAATTAAAGTGTGGTCAGAGGGGACAGACGCGGTGCTCCAGGACAGATTTAAAAACACAGACTGGAATATGTTCACCAACACAGACCTGGACCAGTACGTCTCATCTGTCCTGGATTACATCTCCGTAACCACAGACAGTGTCACCACCCAGAAAAGGATCACCATGTACCCCAATCAGAAGCCTTGGATGAACCGGGATGTTTGTCTCCTACTGAAGGCCCGCAACACCGCTTTTAGGACAGGAGATGCACACGCCTACAGTACAGCCAGGGCTAATCTAAAGAAGGGCATCAAAAAAGCCAAACACCATTACAAAAAGAAGATAGAAGAACACTTCTCCAACTCCAACCCCCGACGCATGTGGCAAGGACTCCAGACCATCACAGACTACAGGATCACCAAACCCTCCCCTGCATCCTCTGATGTTTCCTTCCTCAACGAGCTCAACAACTTTTATGCTCGTTTTGAGCGAGGGAACCTCACAACCACAACCATA